GGAGTCCACAAAGGTGCTCAGGGGCTGGAGCAGCTCCCCTGGGAGGACGGGCTGAGAGAGCTGGGGCGGTGAAGCCTGGAGGAGAGGAGGCTCTGGGGTGACCTTCCAGCAGCCTGAGGGGGCTACAGGAAAGCTGGGGAGGGACTCTTCATCAGGGAGTGCAGGGATAGGATGAGGGGTAATGGTTTCAATCTGAAAAGGGTAGATTTAGATTAGATAGTAGGAAGAAATTCTTTCACCGTGAGAGTAGTGAGACCCAGGCACAGGTTGCCCAGAGAAGCTGTTGGTGCTCCATCCCTAAAAGCATTCAAGGCCAGGTCAGACAGAGCCTTGAGCAACCTGGGCTGGTAGGAGGTGTCCTTGCCCACGGTTTCCAGCCCAAACCATTCTGTGATTCTGTAATTTCTTCCCTCCTTTTAGAAGGTGAGGATTTACAGGGCGAAGAACTCACCTTTTCTCATGGCTGTAATACACTGGGAAAGATGGCAACACCACTAACCATGAGGCGAGGGCTGGATTATGCCAATTAACAAATTAACAAAGCCAAATAGTGAGATCAACACATCAAATCAAAGACACGAGAAACACACCCACGTAGCAAAACAAGGATGTGATAACCAACGCTGGAGGGCCACGATAACCTCATTCATGTGCTGCAGCTGGGCAGACAACCCCAAGAGCAGCGTACAACGCCTCTGGCTGCTAAATACGACCGTGCTTGTGACATTTCCTAGCTCCCACGCCACACAACCAGACTGCCTTTGCCCCTCAGAGCTGTAGGCTAACCAAACAGCTCGCTCTAGATCTAGGCTTTAAAGAAAACAGAACACACACAAAAAAACCCCAACACCCCAACCAAACCCCGAAGAAATCGCTCAACAAGGGAACTGTCTTGGGTTACAATATGTAACCAAAAATGTGTAATTCTATTTTCATCTGTTGAAACCGGTTGGAAGATATTTTCATTTCTTGTTAACTCCAGGGGCAGGTGCTTTCTGTTAATGGGTAATCATGGGTTAAGGAAGGGGCAGCAGGCCCCGGCCCTAAGGCCATCGAGCCACACCCCGGGCTC